GGCTATGTGAGAGTACTTACTTTACTTTTACTTTTTCATCCTCTGTTGCCTTTAAGTGTCATGGGGAGATGCAGTTTTCTGTGGTAGGCCAGCTCCCCAGCTCTTTCAGTGTGATATTATGTTTTCTCATGGTTTTCTTGACACCCTCTATCCACCTTTTGCGTGGCCTTCCTCTTCCTTTATAGCCTGAGTGCTTGGTGTAGTAGGCTCTCGAGGCTGGCTGGCCAGGTGACATACGTAACAGGTGGCCAAACCATTTTGTACTGTCTTTCTATGTAATGCAGGCAGGATTCAATGCCGATAGCTGCTCTTACTTCTTCATTCTCTGCCTGTCTCGTCTTGTGATGTTAAGGGTTTTGCGGAGACATTTCATTTCGCATGCAGTGATTTTGCTTTTATGGGTTTTACTTAATGTCCAGGTCTGGCACTGGTAGCATAATGTTGGTATGAATATTGAGGTGATAAGCTGTCTCTTTGTGTCCATTGAGATATTTGGATGGGACAGGAGGGGTGCGAGCTGGTAGGTGACAGCGTTGGCTTTTTGAGTTCGCATTTCTATTTCTCTGTCTATGGACCGGTTTTCAGAAAAAGTACTCCCTAGATATTTAAACTCCTTCACCTGTTTCAGTTGTTTACTATAGGCACGGATTTTCAGGGGACTGCGGTTTCGGCTCACTTTCTTAGCTTATATTTTATATTGTGCTTATTTTCATGTTAAATTTTCACAGCTGTTGTTCAGTTCGGTAGTGTGATTTTGGAGACTTTGTTGGTTTGAATGAAAGAGACATTGGTAGTCTGCGAATAGAAGTTCATTTAGACTTTCTGGGCTTTGGTTTGTGTCTTGCGTTATTGTGCCCATATATATGATAAACAGGATAGAACTCATCCCTGTCGTACTCCAGATCTTACTTTGATCCAGTCTGTATTGCCATCCTTCGTTCTTACTAAGCTTCTGCAGTGGTATATAGAGCTCTGACATTATCTAACATTTGTCCTCTCACGCCATACTTTTCGAGTGTCTTCCCGAGTTTTGCATGTTAAAAGCCTTCTTATGGTTTATAAAGACGATGTTGGATTCTTTGTTGTGTTCGATTGTTTTCTCGCTTATCTGTGTTAATGCGAATACTGCATCCGTGCATCCTCTTCCCTTTTTTTGGAATCCAAACTGAGCCTTGCTCAGATTTCTCTCTACAATAGGTCTTATCCGCTGTTCCAGTGTCTTTGCGCATATTTTTCCTTCGTGACTTAATAAAGAGATACTTCTGTACCTTGTGCAGTCCCGTTTGTTGCCTTTCTTTTTCCATAATGGAACCACTGTGGATTTCTGCCAGTCTTCTGGGCATTTCCTTTGCTCCCAGGCTCTATTGAAAATTCGCCTCAGCCACTGTACGCCGGTGTTTCCACAAGCTCTTATGGCTTCCACTGTGATGTCATCTGGTCCTCGGTTTTAAGGGCCTTTTCGATTTCACTGAGAAGTATAGGTGGTTTTATATGCTCTCCATATGATGATTGGAACTCTTCTTGTTTTCCGTGGCAAGCGTCGGGGTTGAGTAGTTCTTGGAAGTAATTTTCCCGTCTTTTCTTAACCCTATCCGTACGTCGTGTTTTACTATCGTATCTATACGACGCGTGGAACGCTGGGCCACCACTTTCGAAGAAGAAATTTACTCGTTAATCCAATCCCTACGCTTTGCATAGCACTAGCAGTGTGTCAAAATGATTTTTCGAAAAATACTGAAAGTTTCAAAGAGATCTTCGTACTAGAAGCATTCTAAAATGTGAAGAATACATCCCCGGGGGTACAAAATGACCTCAGAGCGTACGATGCTCGCTGAGAATGGCATTACCCTCTTTATCGTTTATAATGCTTGTTGGGTTGTAAGGGTCTTTCCTTACCAGAATGCTGTTCACACGTTTATAAAACTCTCTACGGTTTTCCTTGCAGATTTTGGTCAGTTTCTCGCTGTGTATTTCCAATGCATTTTCTTTAGCAGTTTTGATAATTCGTTTGGTCTCTCTTCTCGCTTTCCTGTATTCTGTCTATACAGTCCTCTTCGGTCTCTGATTTCTGTCATTTCTTGAATATCTACTTTTTCATTTTAATTGCTTCTTTGGTTTCATCTTTCTACCAGCATGTTGTTCTGCCTTTGTTTCCGCCTATTCGTTTGGTCCCACTACTGTTTTTCAGTATTTCTGACAGGCATTTTTTTTTGGCCATTCATCTTCTACCTCTTTGGTCTCAGGTGACAGCTTATTGCACTCCTTGGTAATGTCGTCTTCGATTGCCTTCTTGATGTCTGGTTCTTTTAATTGTCTTAGGTCGGTCGTTGTTTTCCCCTGTTCTTCCTTGTTTGGTTTACATTGCTGGTTGTGGGAGTAAGTATCACAGGTCTGTGGTCCGTGTCGATGATGTAGTTAGGAGCAGCTCTCGAATCTTAGGCGGTATGTCTTTGTTTTCTGCGCATCAGGATGAAATCAATTTGTGATGCATGGTTCGGGTCATTCCATCTGTACCAAGTCTTGATTTGGCTTAGTCTGCGTTGGAAAAATGAGTTTGTTATCATCGTGTCGTGTTCAATGCATAGGTTTAGTATCTTTTCTCCATTGCTGTTTCAGTCTGTATCGTTATCACTGTGTGGTCCCACGTATGTGAGAGTGATATATTATTATTGAATATAATAATAGTTTTGCCTATCCTGTCAGCACTGTAAGGTTAATTTCAGGGGATTGGCCTACGAATTCAGCATCGTTCTCCTAAAAGTTTTGAGTTTGAGTAAAGAGAAGAAAAGCACATCGACACAGTAACGTTCATTCACTGCTGGGAAAAAGCAAGATTGGCAGACAGAAACAAGACAAGTCAAACAAAGGAAGTAGGACCTACCAGGTATACCCTCAACCACACACATAGAATTAACAAAGGGGTACATAGGAAGTAGGTCCACTACTACTACTACTACTACTACTACTACTACTACTACTACTACTACTACTACTACTACTACTACTACTACTACTACTACTACTACTACTACTG